GATGGTCCATATGTTATATATATATAATTAGTTCACTTAAATTAAACAATTTCATATGTTATATATATTACTAATCATTTAAATGTTTTCATTTATTTCGCATATATGTTCGTACTTGTGTGAGTTTTTGGTCTAGTCGGCTTTTTTTGGGAAATATGTGCTTTCCATTTTCATAGACTCTTTTTTTCTTTGCTTGAATTTTGTGTGGCACGTCTAAGAAACACATATAGCCGGTTTTAAAAACCAAGTTTACGAGCATAATTTATGACATAACAACATATAGAGAAGTTTAAAAATATAATTTTTAAAATTCTTCATTCCACACAGATTAATTGTAAAGTTTAAAAGAAGAAGAAAATAATTCATGATTCAATTTTCTTTGGTGGAGAAAACACATAAATTTATTTATATATTTTCATAATTCAAATAAAAATTAATTAGAAAACAACGTAGAACAAACAATTATTTATCATAACTAAGCCATAAAACTAGTTATATAAAGAGGAAAAGTAAAGAGAAAACAAAATCAACGATATCTCTTTGTATATAAGCAAAGTTTGAAACTTTTTGAAAAATAAATTTTAACATATATCAATAAAATTATCTAATAGTAAATTTTAAATCAATAAAACATCTTTATCTTAAACAAAAATAAGATAAATAATAATAATAACTAATACGAATTTAATTAGTATTTATTATAATATGCAATTTCTTAAATCCAAATCAAGATAAAAGGGTTTTTTTACATATGAAAAGAGTTAGTTTTTAAAAAAGAAAAAAAAGAGGTATGTTTTTCAAATTTAAAAAGATAAATAGGGTATTTTTCAAAAACAAAATTAAGAAAATAGGCAAAAAAACAATTAAAATTAAAAAACTAGGCCATGTTTTTTTTAATTAAGAAATTAGGCTAATATTGACATTTTTGTCCCTCTTTTAATGATTAATAATAGGTAAATAAATTCTAATTAAAAAAATTTAAAACAAACAATTATAAATCAATCGCCGTTTTGCTCATCAATCTCTCCCATCTTCAACAATGAAACACCATATTTCTTTACGATTTTTCTTACCTGATTCTTTTTTGCAATTCTTTCCGGGTAAAGATATTGAAGATTCTGTTGATATTTAGCGCGTGTTATATGACATTGGCTTCGTTATTTTGTTTACGGGTTTCGTCTTCGAATGTCAATGTGAATTTGAGGTGCAAATTCTTATGAACCAATAGTTTCAGAATTTGAGTTGGGTTTCATAATCAAGTTTTAATATTAACTTCTTATGAACCAATAGTTAATGATATGTTAAGAGAGCCTTGATAAGAAGACTAACGATTCCATGAAGTTTACAAACGGAACAAAATCAGGAAACAATCTCTATATCTCGAAAAGAATGGACGAATTTCAATACCAAGTTACTGAGTTTTGTGAAATGATTTAAGGATCTCTTCAATAATTAAAACAAACAATTCATCGGTCAAACGAATTCAGGTTTTGAAAAAGGTGCTTATCTTCAAGTGGAATTTCTCATGATGCAGAGGAAGATATCTTCTCACGACTTTCTCCTTGTGAATTTTTTCTTTGTTCTTCTTCTTACCCAAACACACGGTTATGTTATTGTATAAAAATCAAAAGATTTCCAGAGAAATATATTTATTGCTGGGAATCATTGCACTTGTTCATCGCGAGGAGAGACAAAATGGAAATTCAAACGATACATTCCATAACAAATAGACGTGTTAGTTCCTAATTTTGCGGGATTTTACATTGATTCGGGAGTGAAATCTCTGCCATTGAACACACACAAAAATAATAGCTGAACGTTTTATAAATATATTAAAAAAGGGACAAAAATGTCAATATTAGCCTAGTTTCTTAATTAAACAAAATGTGGCCTAATTTTCTAATTTTGATTGTTTTTTAGCCTATTTTCTTAAATTTCCCTATAAAATGAGTTGCGATTTGCAAAAAAGAAAAAATGGCCCAAAACAATAAAACATGAGAAATAGAGGTGAATCTGCAAAACAAGTTTAATTGCACTTGCGTCCCCAAATTTATGATTTTGTTTCAAATTAGT